TACCTCCAGTTCCTATTTCCACCTTTGTTTTAATGTTATGAAACTAGTTATAACGTTCTTATAGTCAGTAGTTTATATATATAATTTTACCCAAGGATATTTTCTCCATTGATTTTTAGAGAGCGTGTAAGGGAGGGAGAGACAGAAAGAGAGATAAACATTGATATGAGAGAGACATATCAATCAGTTGCCTCCCACACACACCCTGGCAGGGACTGAGCCCATAACCAAGGTATGTGCCCTTGACCAGAATTGAACCCAGAACCCTTCAGTCCTCGGGCCCTAGTGCTTATTATAGGTTATGCTCTATAGTAGGTGCTCAGTGACTATTTGTTGAATGAATGAATGTCAAGTGTGAATTTGTAGCCATATCTTTCTCCCAAGCAATATAAGAACCTTAGCACTCTCCTAATTTCCTTCCTCTCCTCTTTCCCCCTTCACCCTCTACCCTTTCTAATGTGCTCATATTAATAAATCTTGGAGGAATTTAAATTGATTTCTTATGAACATTCTTGCTTTACAGCCTACCCATTTAGAATTAACAATATGTTTCACAAATTTCTGTGCTCATTCAATCTACTCATTGACCATTTCATGCTCTTGTATTCATATTTCTCTGTCAGAAAGATACTATTGTTATTGGGTGTGGTTGTTTCTTTAAGAGAAAATCTGTAAATGGTAAATTTGTGGTGTTTATATATCTAAAAATGTCTTTATTCATTCTCAAACATCAGTGATACTGTGGCTACTAGTAGATTCAGAATTCCAGTTTTAAAAAATGTCCTCAGAACTTTGAAGATACTGCCCCTAGTGGTGAGGTTTTAAGTTGTATTCTGATTATATTCTGTTGTAATAATTACCGTTTGTCTGGTTTTATCTAAACTGGCACTCAGCGAGCTCTTTAATGCAAGGTGACAGATTTCTTTTACAAATATTGACTGTGGAACTGCCAGTGACCGGCACTGGGTTAAGCAATAGAGAAGTAAAATGTGTGCCGGAGGCCTCCTCCTCAAAGATTTTACAGTGTCGTGGCGAGTCACGCCAGTAACTAGATAATGAAGACGCACTGGACTCGGGGCCATAAAGTGGGAAGCACTCGGTACTGAGAGCACTTTTTTCTTCATGTTCAATTTTGCTTGTTTATTGAAAGTATTACATATCTCCTTTTCCCCCCCGATTAACCCCTCCCCTGTCACTCCCACCCCCAAGGGCAAGCCCCCACCGCCCCAGTGTCTGTGCCTATTGGTCATGCTAATATGCATACAAGTCCTTTGGTTGATCTCTAACTGCCCCCGTCCCCTGCCTTCTCCCCAAAATTTGACATTCTGTTCACTGGCACCTTGTCTCTGGCTCCGTTTTTGTTCATCAATTTATGTTGATCATTATATCCCACATATAAGTGAGATCATGTGATATTTATCTTTCTCCAACTGGCTTATTTCGCTTAGCATAATACTCTAAGAGCATTTAAAAAAAATTTTTTTTATTGATTTCAGGGAGAAGAAGGGAGAAGGAAGGAGAGAAACATTAATGATGAGAGAAAATTATTGATCTGCTGCCTCCTATACACCCCCTACTGGGGATCAAGTCCAGTAGCTTTGACCAGGAATGGAACCCTGGCTTTCTCCAACTGGCTTATTTCGCTTAGCATAATACTCTAAGAGCATTTAAAAAAAATTTTTTTTATTGATTTCAGGGAGAAGAAGGGAGAAGGAAGGAGAGAAACATTAATGATGAGAGAGAATTATTGATCAGCTGCCTTCTGTACACCCCCTACTGGGGATCAAGTCCAGTAGCTCTGACCAGGAATGGAACCCTGACCTCCTGGTTTATGAATCGATTCTCAACCACTGAGCAACACTGGGCCAGCGGTACTGAGAGTATTGCTGGAGCACAGAAGAGGCCTTCTCGCCAAGTCTGAGGGCACGTGTGCATGATATGCCTGGCTTAAGTCTCAACTGCCTATGTCTGGGTCTCAGAAAACTTGGTTTTGAGCTCAGGTTTAGCAGAAAACAGTTCATAGTCACCAGTTAGTTTTAATTACAAGCTCTATGGAGCATCAAAAAGGACAAGAGAGCAACAAGGACAAAATGTCCATTTGGCCAAGAATATCTTCCTGGTATCTCCCCTCTGTTCCTCAACAGGACAGGCCCTGAGAGGTGGTACCTGTCAGCAGCCTTTGTGGAATGAGGCCCCTCCCAGATGTGAGAAGAACCCACAGAGAAGCTCCCAGACTTTTATCTCACATCCCCCACCTCCCACAGAAAGTCTGAGTCAGTACACAAAGACAGCTCCTGCTATCACATAAGGCAGTATTCTGCTGGCCAACAGGCCACACCACCCAGCCCAGTGATGAGAGTCCATATCCTGAGTTATTGTGGCCGTACTTATCCAACCTTTCTCTTTTTCTGTCTAATCTGTGCCGTGTGGACCTCTCTGTTTACACAGGCACAAATTTTTCTACTTGAGTTCCCTGCCTCGGGGCTTTTAGTAGACGGCCTGACCTATCAAAATAATACATTGTGGCCTCTCAATATATATTCTCAATTTCGCATCTTCCCTGGTCACTTAAAGATGTCTGGGGCTATCTCTACTGAAAAGCCGCCCTCTGTGTGTAAATCTAAGTTCTAGGTTTCCGGCTCCAAGACCTGAGCATTTTGCACAGGCCAGTGGGTTGCCAGTTTGTTCTCCATCCCTCATTCTTGTCTTTTAAAAATTTTTTAATTCATTTCAGAGAGGAAGGGAGAGAGGGAGAGACAGAAACATCAATGATGAGACAGAATCATTGATTGGCTACCTCCTGCACGCCCCCCAAGAGGGATCGAGACTACAACCTGGGCATGTGCCCTGACCGGGGAATCAAACCCTGAACTCCTGCTTCAGCCACTGAGCCACCCCGGCTGGGCCATCCCTCTTTCTCCAGTGAGTTTTCCACTCTCGGTGCTGGCAGGTTCAGGAGGATACATATCAAATGCAGCAGGGCCTGCAGGAGCGAGTGAAGAACTGCCAGAGGGTCGGAACAGACCAAGGCTCCGTGTACCTGCGGAAGGTGCAGTGCCAGCAGCTGGAGCAGAAGCTGAAGCGCGTGGAGACCTGGCTGCTGCAGCTGGGACAACTGGCCCGCCTGGTGCACTACATGATTTGCCAGAGCCTCGTGTCCATCATCGAGGAGAAGATAACCTCTTTTGTGGCCAACATCCTGAAAGTGAGGTGGCGGCGGCATGGGTGGAAGTGGGCAGGCAGTCGAGGGCCAGCTGGCGGGGAGCAGATACTGACATCTAGCCCCGTGACCTCTCCTGACCCTTCTTTCTAGGCCCCGAGGCAGAATCCCTTTCTCTCAGCCCAGCTGGTCTTTGACAGGCGTGGCCAGCTGTCTCATGAGCCCTGTATTGAAGACATAGTCCAGATTCTAACTGGGGGCCTACAGTATGTCAAGGTTTCTGCTCTGAAGGTATTCTGGTTGGGCAGGGGGCTGGCTGTAGGAATTCCCAAATTTTATCCTCAGGAGCTTTCAGCCTGGTCCGAACCCTCATTGTTTTTCATTTCTGCCCCTTCACGATACGGTGACATGCAGGTAATAAAGTCTGCAGACCTGAAGACCTCTGGGGATTCCCTGAATTCTGAAGGTATTTAAGGAGACTTAGGCAGAGGGTAGGAGGAGGGGAAGAAGGGGGGAGGGCACATGCAGTGTGCTAATGGCATTGCCAGAGAGTCAGGCTTTGGGTGTGGATGGAGCGTATCTAACCTGAGCACTTCCCTCCCCATAAGAGTGGTCTACACAATGAAAACAAGAAGTCACAAGGTAGGTGCTTCCAGGCTAGGTCCGGTGGCTCAAAACGCCATCAAGCACCAGGCTCTTTATATCCTTCCCCCAACCCCTTCCTGGGTTTAGCTATAGGCAAGGGCACATCTGCTTAGAGGGGTGTGTGTGTGGTAAGAGAGGCTGCAATCACAAAACCATCGTTTCATCCTCAGGCTTACTGCCACATAACGGCAAGATGAGCTGCAGGTCTAAGCATCCCATCCGCAAGCAAAATCAGGGGGAAGGGGGAGGCAAGGGAGAGAGACAAGAGCCGAGGTGGGGAGGTGAGGTAGAAGAGACAATGAGATTTGATAGCGACTTGGGCTGGACAGAGGGGCAGGCAGTGACAGAGATGGTGAGAATGGGTTGGATTCTGGATATATGTTTAATGTAGAGCCAATAGGATTTTGTGATCGCTGGGTGTGTGTTGAGAGAGAGAGGAGTCAAAGACTAAAATTTCTGACTGGAGCAACTGGAAGAATGGAGTTCCCGTTGGCTGAGGTTGGAAGACTGCAGGGAGAGCGGTTTTGGGGAGGGAGACATCAGAGCCCATTTTTGGTCCTACCTAAGGTGCATATTAGACATCCAAGTGGAGAGGGCGAGTTCGCCGTCGTTTCAATGGGATTGGCATTCAGGGAGAGATCTGAGCTAGAGATAAATTTGGAAGCAAATAGATGGTATTTAAAACCATGACACTGGATGAGCTCACTTAGAAAATGAGTGCAGATAAGAGATCTGAGCACTGGGTGTGTGTGTGGGGTGGGGGCAGGCACTATAATGTTAGGTGTTGTTAGTAAGGATCTGATTTCTAAACATTTTGATGCTTTCCCCCCCTTTTTAATAAAGTGTTTTTGTTGTTGTTGTTTGTTGTTAATCCTTACCTGAGGATATTTTTTCCCACTGATTTTTAGAGAGAGTAGAAGGCAGGGGGAGAAACAGAGAGAAATATCTATGTGAAAGAGACACATCGATTGGTTGCCTCTGCACGGGGCCCGAGACTGAGCCTGCAACTGAGGCGTGCCCTTGACCAGAATCAAACCCTAGCCTAGACCCTTCAGTCGGTGGGCCGATGTTCTAACCACTGAGCAACCGCCAGGGCTAACGTTTTAATGCGAATATAGACTTTGTCAATTAACCAGTTCCTAAGAAGTTACAAGGGAGGCCAGGTTTACAGGTCCTTGAGGAGGAGACTGAGTACTGGCACACTCAACACCCTTTCCCACCTCCTCCTACAGACTGCTCTTCCCAGACCCCCTTGCTACTAGAGTGTTTTTCAGCTCTTCTGTGTATTTGCAACCCACTTAGTGTTCTATAATGTCCTTCCTGCTTACACTAGCTCGAGTAAACCCTCTTCTCACCACCTGAACCCTAACCAATGAATTCTTCCATGGGTCTGGTGCACTGTGTTTGTAATAAGATTTACGTGTAAACTCACTCATGAGCAGGGTGTGTGTGTGTGTATGTGTGTGTGTGTGTGTGTACACATTTTAGAGAGGGAGGTCATGGAGGGGCCCTGGAGGGCACTCATGGACAATTATGGCATGTGTCCCGCTAGAAAAAGGTGAAGAAGAGGGCTCGAACACGGAAATGCTGATGCCCAAGTCCCAGGGTGATGTTGTGCAGATCTTCTGTGGCCCGAATGTAGGATTGGTGTGGCCCTGGAATTCTCACACCATCACCCAAGCGCTGGAGGTCCGTGGATACCGGCTGCGGAGCCAGTGCTTGCCCCCCAATTACAAGCAGCTGCAAGAGGACCTAAATAACAACCCTCGAATCCAGCAGGCGCTGGCTATACAACAGGCCCTGCTGGTGGTGAGTACAGAGACGGGAGGAGTGGGAGGGTGCCTGCCAAGCCCCGTCACAGCCAACCGCCTCTGCCCTCAGCACCTTGTCTGCCCCTAGGACATGCTGTGGGAGGTGCAGGAGTTCTGCCGGGACCATCACTGGATGACGGGCATGTATAAGTTTCTGCAAGCCTGGGGGCCCCAGAAGCTGGAGTCTATGAGAGGTTGTCCTATCAGCAACTACCAGACGCTGGTGAGCCACCTGGACGGTTGGCAGGCCGGCGTCTCCCAGATGCCTATCGAGTTGATCACAAAAGGCAAGTTGCTGCTGCTGAGCTGCCGTGATATACAGGCCAACCTGGGTGAGTGCCGCTTCCCTTCCCTCCTTTTCCTCCCGCCTCCTTCCCTCATCCACGCGGCTTTGCTGGTGTCTGGAATGTGCGGCCCGGACCTGAGCTGCAGGCCCCTCATTGGAGCTGCAGAGCTTCCCAGAGCCCCAGGTTCCAGCCCCTTCCCTTTGCAACTGCCTCTTCCCCATTCTCCTGGGGAGCCATGTTCCTGCCACCTGACGCTTTCTGTTCTTATGGCGTGGAGTTCAACCGAATGCAACTGAGAAAAATCTTAGTGTCCGTTACCTGCAGGGACGAGAGACTCCCGGGCCTATGCTTTCTCTGTGGAGGTGGGAGGCCGGGGAGCTGGGCCTGAAAGAGTTTGCCTGAAAGTCCTGGCCTGCCCAGCCCTCCCTGCCTTTGCTCTTCAGCCGATGAAGCACTTGCCTAAAGTGCTCCCCTCCGCCCCTCGCCCTGTCCTAAATGTACAGGGGGTTCAAGCTGGCAAGGAAGGAAGAGGGAGGGCCTGTGATTGGCCTGCTTTTGTTCCGACCCTGTTCAGGACAGCCTTTGCTCCACTGGTACTTGGAAAGCCTGTGTCCTTTCTAGTTTGTTGGCTTCTTGAGTCTTAGTCCAGAGTCAACTGGCTTCTTCAAAAAGAGCAGATGGAGAGAGAAAGCATGGGGTTCGGGATCCTGGCTGTTTTCCACTGATGTGTGTGACCTTAAGTCACCGAGCTTCAGTGTTATTTATAACATGGGCAAAATACTGGAAGTCACTCCCAGGGTCATGGCAGGGAAGATTGAATGAGATATCATGTGTGATATTCCCAGCACTGAGTATGGCATGCAGTGAGTCCTTAATTTTTTCATGTCACCTTATTCTCTTCTGTCTGCTGTAATCCTTCTGTCTGCTGTAATCCTTCTTGCTGAGTTTACCTTTTTATCTTGCCACTCTGTTGCTCTCCTCACTGGGCTCCCTTGAACAGTGAATGATATAATTACCCACTATGGTGAGTTGTTCTTATCAAAACTTGAACTTCATCCTTTTTAAAAATAGGTATTTTATTGATTTTTCACAGAGAGGAAGGGAGAGGGATAGAGAGTTAGAAATATCCATCAGCTGGCTCCTGCACACCCCACACTGGGGATGTGCCCCTAAACCAAGGCACATGCCCTTGACCAGAATCGAACCTGGGACCCTTCAGTCCACAGGCCCACGCTCTCTCCATTGAGCCAAACCGGTTAGGGCTTAACTTCATCCTTTACTCTTTCCTTTCCCTAACTCCACCCCATCCAACCTGTCGCCAAATCATTTCCGTGCGTCTGTCTCCTAAATACTTCTCAAATCTATTACCCACCGACCCCACCCCACCGCTCAGGTCCATTTCTAACTTCAGCCTAAACATGGCACTTTATCAGTCCATTGCTCCTTGGTGCCACACCGTGTCGCTGTTGAGCTCCTCTCTGCCTTCACTGCCTGATGCTGCAGGTCCAAAAGCAGCACCATGGCAATGGCCTAGCTCCTGTCGTAGGCCAGAGGGATAGTTTGAAAAGGATAAGTTCGCATCCCTGTGTTCTCTTCTACCTTGGGTGCCCCTCAATAGGTTCCCTTTCTCTTGGTTTTCTCAGCTCCTGGTGCCCAGTCCTCTTGGTTACGTCCTCCAAGACCCCAGAAGGGCCATCCCCAGTATGTCTCAATTACGCGCCCCTGGAACTCACGGCCCCCCTTTGCAGTGGAAGAGATGCTCGTAGGGGATAAGCTGATTTACTTTTCACCCCTCAAAACAAAACAAAGAGTGTAACAGGGTGGAGCCAGGCGGTCTGAGTTTGAATCCTTGCTCTGCCACTGTGTGATGTTGATACAGTTACTTAACCACTCTGAGCCTCAGTTTGCTTCTCTGTAAGATAGGGACAATAATAATATATACCTCAGAGGGGTTTTTATGAGGATTAAATGGGTTCATACAGGCAAAGTAGTTGACATTGTATCGGGCTTGTAGTGACACTGTATTTTGTGGTATGGTTTATATCATATTTCTTTGCTCTTCTGTGCATTATTTTAACATTTCTGAACTTAAGGGGTATGTGAAGACGGATGGCATGTCAGAGTTTAGATGGCATCACTTTTTCTTTTTCTTCTTTTTTGTGGTCTATGAAAGAATGGTGCCTCCTACAATTGGTAGTATCTTAGGTTTGATGAGGTCCCATCTTGATATTATTCCTGCCCTCGACACAATAGGCTTGTTCCTATTGCCAAGAGCAGCCCCCATGCTTGTCTCCTAGTCCCGTATCCTCTTTCCTTACACCCTTAAAAGGAAAAGGCCGATGGCCCACTCTTCTCGCTATCTCTTCTATCAGAGCAGAAGCAGTAAGCCTCCCCAGGCAGAGGGCCCTCGTCTGCAGTAGGGCATTCTGCTCTTCATAACCATGTCATCTCCCTGCCTTTGCACATGTTTCATCTACGTGCTGTGCCTTTGCCCCTCGGAGCATGAACTGCTCAACACATTCAGCTCCAATGTCCCCCTCTCTGAGGCTTTTCCCGGCCTCCCTGGGCCTCGCCTCTTCTCACTATGCCAGGTTGAGGACTCGTGGGCACCGATCACATTGGTTTTTGATGATCTGTTGATGTATCTGTCTCTGCCACCATATTGTAAGCTTCCTCGGCTGGAAACCCTTTCTGTCTCACTCACTCACTCTTGTGTACCCGGGCCCAGCACAGGCCCTGGTGCTTAGCAGCTGATGGGACACTGGGCCGGGCTCCAGTAAGCGTTCAGTGAGCGAGGGAATGAATTCATGGTCTGGTGTCCCCTTCCCACTCCCACTCTGGGCCCACAGCACTCCCTCAGCACCCTTTTTGTTGTGCACCCCTTAACACCTCACCCTCCTCTGTGTTCAGAATCCAAGCTGGGGAGCATCAGGAAGGAAATTCTTAAGCATGTCCAGGGCGAGAGCTGGAGCCGCAGCCAGCAACTGATGAAGGAGCTCACAGATTTCATCGAAGCCTTCCAAATCATCAACTCCGACATTCACACCATTGCCCGGTGCTCCCAGAAGGTGGGCTCTCCCCGTCCTTCCTTCCCAGCCTACCCGGGGCCCATTCCGCTCAAACGCTCAGCAGGACTCAGCTGAGCTCCCAGCAGGGCCCAGGCTCTTAGACTGCGCTCACATGGGTGACCTGCCCTTGCTACCTCTTGCCCTGCTCTCCTGGCTCAGTTTCCCCAGGGCAGGGGGAGGCCCCCAGGAGAAGAGAGAGACCCTGTCCTGCTTTCAGAGGCAAAGGTCTGCTCCTGTCCAGTCAGATAGGGATCAGTTGCCCTGTAGCAGGGTAATGATGTGGAGGGGGCAGAGCAGTGCTGTCTGCAGAGAGGCCTGGATGAGATGGGGCGTGACCTCAGACTGCCCCTGCCCCCAGTGGGTTACAGGGAGGCAGCTGGAGTCTGTAGCCTCCAGCAGGTAGGCGTGCCCCTCGGGGTGCTGCCAGGTTGTGGCGGGGGGTGCCAGTCTCATGCTGTGGGCCCCTGCAGTTGAACAAGGCCCATGAGCAGTACAGCGAGCTGGAGGAACGGATGGAATACATACGGGCCCTCCACGAGCTCATCCGCAACCACTTCAGTCTCTTCAGTGCGGACACCGAGGCGCTGGACATCTCGGTGAGAAGGCAACTCCGGGAGCCACCCCTACCTCCCGGCCCTCCTCCCTCACCAGCACGTGGACCTGACTGCCCTCTGCCTGCCCCCCAGCTCCTGGATCTGTGGGAGGCATTTCAGTTTGAGAGAAGCCAGGCCTCCGAGTTCCTGCTCAGCAAGCGACATGTCATTGTGCCCAAGCTGCAGCAGCTGATGGCGGCGGCGCTGGCCGAGCTGGACGGCCTGATCAGGAAGGCCCTGTCCAGCCCCTACCTGGACCCTGCACAGGAGCCGAAGAGCATGGAGAACCAGCTCATCGCCCTGGGGCAACAGTTCCAGAATACCACCAGCTACCTCAGCGAACTGCACCACGCCTACATCACCTTCACTGGTACCGAGGGTCCCCGTCCCCTCCACCCCCACCCTCTGAGCAACCCCCCAGCTGAGAGAAGGGTTTGGACTCAAGGTCCTGTGTCCTATGTGCCCCTAAGCAAGTTCCGGGGATCTCACACCTTCACTGGTCTCTCTTATATGTGAAAATGGCAGGACAGAATCTTCATACATTGGATATAGTGCGGTGCTTAGGATGGGGAGACAGGACTCACAGTCTGGGAGGGAAGACAGACAGGGGAATGTTCCCTTAGGATGTGATGGGGTCAGAGGGCTAAACCTGTGCAGGAGAAGGCGAAGGCGTCCTCATAGTAGTACCAGCCTTTGTGTAGCCCTGTTCGACCCAGCCCTGCGCCGGGCAGCAGGCCCCGGTGAACATGGTCTTCATGCTTCCAGCCAGTGTGGTGTAGGGTCAGCTGCGGGGGCCTCACTGGCCCATAGCACAGAGCTCCTGGTCTTCCGTCTTCCATGCAGCGGTGCCGCTCCTTCCCTTCTGCCTGTAAAGAACAGTGTGGGCTCGGGTTCCTTTTTACCTCCGGTGCCGTCACTTCTATCAGTCACTTCCGTCCGTTCAAAGACACATTGCTTCTCAGTTGCTTCTTGGCCAACCTCACTATGACCACCTCTCCCTGTGGGCCTCCCAAGTTCAGGGCTGTTGGCCAAGTGTGAGATGTTGGACACTGGGACCATCCTCAAGCAAGGGACTTTTTCTTTAGCCAAGTATTAGGAGACCCTCATCCTCTACTCTGACCTTGACCGTGGGCCTTGACCTTTCCTGCTAGTTTTGGAGATGTTTGTGGAAAAGCACAGCAGTGGATGCAGGCCTGTAGTGCAAGGCCCAGGAAACCCCACAGCATGGCTTCCACTTCTTTCGTCCCTGTCTCCTCACCAGACTTCCAGGTTTTGTTAAAATCAACCTGAATCTAGATGATTAAAACTACCTTTATTTTTCCTTAGGCATCTTTTACTCTTTACTTTTGACCTTTGCTTTGTTTTATAACCATGTTAACAACTATTTGGACATCTAAGGCTTCCTGGTTTTGTTTATGAATTACCATTTTTAAAAATACCACATCTTTTCATTATTTTTGTTCTTTCCTTGGATGGCTGTCATGTTTGAGGTTGTTTGTTTGTTTTTCTAAGAAGAAAATTAGAGGGGTTAACATTTCTAAGTTCCTATGTGGAAAATGTCCGTTCTAATGTCCTTATATCACAGCTTGGCTAAATATTGAATTCTGAGGTTTTCCTCAAGTTTAGGTATTACATCACTGTCTTCGACATGCAGCATTGTGGACAAATATCAATCTTATTTTCCCCTTTGTAGATGATATGTTTATCAATTACTTAAAATGGTTCTCAGGTTTGCTCTGGCCTCCTTCCAGAATTCTTATTTGTATATTGGATTTTCTGGATCACTCCTCCATTTTTTATTTCTTTATCATCACCTCTTTTTTTTTTTTTAGTTCTGGGGAAATATTGTGGTTTGTTTTATAAGCTTCCACTTTCTGTAGTATCTACTCTGTAATTTCCATTGCATTTTAAAACACACATTCACATGTTGCATATGTGTGCATGTTTATGTGCACATGAACAAGGAGATAAGCATGTGTCCATAATAGCAAGGCCCACACTGTGCCCCGCCTTGGTTTCTAATATCATTGCTGTGGCTAGGAACCAGGGCTCCTCAGGGAATGGATGATCCCAGGGCTGTGGCAGGGCAGGTATAAGATGAGCCTGGAATATCTTTTCAACCAGAAAGTAAGGAAATGTTAACTTCTTTTAAAAAGTGATGGGAGCATGTCACAAGGACACAGAAGGGACACCAACTGGCCAAATCTGGGACAATTTGAGCACCAAAGTTCAAATGAAATGACTGGAAAGCCCGGAATGTATTATCCACACTCATGTGGGGAATTTTCTTCAAGAGGTGGGCGGCTTAGGCCTCATTACAAAGGAGAGTTTTGAGCAAGGGCTTGAATTTGGTGAGCGCGGGAGCACCTGGTTCTCTGAGGGAACAGGGCTCCAGAATAATCTGTCAGTCAAGGACCCTCAGCAGGAGGGAGCCCCTGGGGACCGGAGCCACAGTAAGGAGCCTGCTGTGGCCTGAGTCGGGTGAGTGAGATGTACTGCCACTGGGTTGTCTCAGATAGCCTGTCCTTGGGACAACTGTCCCTTGGATTGTCTCCGCCTCCATTGTTCTACTAAACAATTTTGGACCCCCACCCCCACCCCGCCCTAGCACTTTTGGGACCCTGCCTTCTGTCATCATGGGCTCTTGACTGACCATCCCCCACCACGCCCTCGCCCCCACACATAACCCAGGCCTCAGCCAGTCCTGCCCCACAGGGGATGAGAGTCCCGTGCCCTTGCCAATCTGTGGGATCCATCCTATCCTGCATCAGCAGAGCATCTGGCACCTGTACCGAGTCATCTCTGAAAACATCAGTGATTGGAAGTGCATGGCTTTTGCCAAGGTGCTGACACCCTTCCTTGGAACTCCTGCCTGGGAATGGAGAGCCTGCAGGGGGGTGAGGGGGGAAGGGTCTCCAGCTGACACTGAGCCCTTCTCCCTGCAGTTCAGCCTGCCTATGGCCCAGGAGAAGATAGAGGGCTGGCTGACAGAGGTGGCCCGGTTGAATGCCACCATGGGCCTGCACAACCCAGTCCTGCAGTACTGCATCCACATTCTGGAGGAGTTCCACATCTACCTGCCCTTGCTCACCAAGCTGAGCAGCCTCCAGCTGCATGGCCTCAACTTCCAAGTCCTCCTTCGAGGTATGTTTCTAAGTAGAGCCAGAGAGAGGAGGGGAAGGGAAGGGAAGGACACAGGGGTTAGAACAATGCAACAGCTCAGTCACTCTTGTTGGGAACATCTTCCTTCCCTGGGTTGCTCCCTGCTACCCCCAAAGCACCATGTGGGTCCTCCCTGCTAACCTGGGCTGGCTCAGGCTGGAGTCTGAGTTCTGGGCTCTGCACTGTGCGCAGGACTTTGGGTTCGGGGTTCTTGGCTCTATGTTACACTCAGATCTGCCGTCTGGGAGCTGGGCTGGGCTGGGCTCTGGGTCCCAGACCTGCCATATACCGGTGTTGCTCTGACTTGTTGTCCCTTCTATCTCTAGCCTTAGGGCTGGGCAGTCTCAACGTAGAACTCCTAACACTGGGACAGCTGCTCACTTGTCCACTGCTGGACTTTGCAGATCAAATCAATCAGGTGGGGCCCTCTGGAGGGAGGGAGGTGGTCCCAGGTTCTGTTTGCTTAGCTCTAATAGAGCCAATGAAGGTCCAGCAGCCCCTTGAGACACGGGGGTAATAGATACTGGCTTGTGGGTGGGTGGGGGGGGGGTGAGATTGCTGGCCTGCCTAGAGCATATGGGGATCTGATGGGTGGTTCAGACTCTCTGAGACTGAGAGTATGCACGCCCCTCCCCACCAGGGGAAGGAAGTAGGTGGCAGCCCCAAAGTTGTGGGCACACAGGATGGCAGATGTCCCCCAACACTTACTCTGCCCCAAAAGAGCACGAGAACCAGCTGGAGCCTTGCAACATAGTGGGTTTCAAGGCAGCAGCCTAGGTCAGAGTGTGCTGCTGATGGCCTGTCTCCGAAGCCTGATGGTCTCTGAGACCTGCACTCCCCTGAGCCTGGCCCTTGTTCCAGGGCTATTCCCTGAGCCCTTGCCCAGTCCTGGTTCCTAAGCTCCAGCTCTTGCAGATCTGGCGGAACGAAAATGAGCACATTCAGGCCCAAGAGGCCCTTCAGCAGCTGCGGAAGGTCTGGGAAGCGCGCAAGCTGCGCCTGCTCAACTTCATCCTGCACGTGCCCTGCAAGCCCTCCGCCTTGGGGCGCTCCAAGAAGCAAATGCTCCGCAGGGACGTAATGGCCCAGGATAGTGGCACCTTCATCCTTTCAGGTGAGACCCAGCCCTGGTGGCCCAGTGAAAGTCCCCCGTCGGCGGTCATATTCAGCCACCACATCCACCAGCCCGGCCAGATCCGGCTTCTCTAGCCCAGGTCCCCATCCGCGCTGGACAGCCTGCGACATCATTCTGTTCTGAGACGATGTCTTTCATGGTGCTCCCGGCCCCTCACTCCCACGCAACGCCTGGCCTCGTCAGCAAAGGTCCTCCCCTTTCTGAGTGAATTAAGAAACGCCTCATGGTCATGTCAAAGCCTCAAGCATGTGCCCTGCTGTCTGACCTCTTGCCCTGCTCACTCATTCCTTTTTCGCTTCCTCATCAAACCCACCTGCCTCTGCTGAGCCAAACACAGGAGACCCTGAGATTTCCAGACAGGAGTCCAGTGAGAGAGAGAGAGAGAGCGCGAGCAGAGTAGAGAGACGTGCATGGTGGAGCACCTAACTGAGGGCAGTCGAATCTCAGAAAGCAGCTTCAAAGGACCAGGGAGAGTCAGAGAAACTTCCCTTCCCTTGCAGGGAGGCCTTTTGTTGACTTTTGAAGGAGGAGGAGTTTTCTCAAATTGCAAGGGGAGAAAGGCATGCCAGGGAGAGGGAACAGCATGGGTACAGGCACTCAAGGTGGTATTAGTTAGGGAATTGGCAGAAGTCTCTCACTTCCTTTCTTGCACGCATGCATTGTCTACTATTTCCAATTTCAGTTTCTGTAAAGTTGAGCAATGCCATGAAGACATGTGTGAAGTTACCTGAGACCAGAACTTTTCTAGATTTTTATTATAATTTTTCCAATTTTTGAAAATTGGCTGGCGTATACCTAATTTAATATGTTTTTTATCAACTCACCTTTGCTGAAGCCTTGAATAGTTTCCATAGAACCAATAGCTCTTTTCCCCACCCATATATCTCAGTGGTTAACATAATATTAGATTAAATTCTGTAATCAAAATTATAACTCACATAAGCAGGTTTTCCAACACCCTGTGGCTCTTGGTGAGCCTACAGTTCAACTAGTGGCAGAAAAGAAGTGGTTGGGTATTCTAGAGCAGCAGTCGGCAAACTGCGGCTTGCGAGCCACATGCGGCTCTTTGGCCACTTGAATGTGGCTCTTCCACGAAATACCACATGCGGGCGCGCGTACAGTGCGATTGAAACTTCGTCGCCCATGCGCAGAAGTCGGTATTTTGTGGAAGAGCCATACTCAAGGGGCCATAGAGCTGCATGTGGCTCGCGAGCCGCAGTTTGCCAACCACTGTTCTAGAGAATAGCTGGAGATTAGTGTCCGTGAATTGGGGCCTTAGCCACTCCTGCCCTTGCTCATCTGACGGCCAGCTCAGCTCAGCGAGCCCACCCTTCATTAGATTACAGCAGCCTGCAGGATTCCATCCAGGAGAGTCTTCAGGTGTTGCTCAAGATCCTGGCCATCCAGAAGTCGGGGGACTTACACAAAAGAGCTTTAGAGTGGATGACCATCTTGCATGACCTGAGTGAGTGCAGGCCTCTAGCTGGGCTTATGTGTGGGACCTGAAGGGGGATGGCCCAGAGGGGATGGGCCAGAGATGGGGACTGGGCCGGGAAGCTCTGAAAGGCAGAGCGAGGACCTCCTGCAGGGCTACTGCCTGGGCCCAGGGCACCGCGTCTTTATTCACAGTGACAGTTTTCTCTCTGTCAGGAAGAGAGAGTAGGATATTTTGGGGTGGGACAACCTGAGAGGTCAGGAACAAGCTGGACCCCATTGCCAGACCCTAGTATTCCCCTAGTGTTGCTCTGGCTGCTCACACAGGTGACATACTGGCGGTGTGGGTGACTTTCCAGCAGAAGTGGATTTTTCTGAATAAAATTCTGCATGAGATGAAGATCCAGTTTCCCAGTTCTGATCTGGTAGGGAAGGGGTGAGGCAGGGTGCACAGAGGCTGCTGAGCAGTGGGGTGCAGAGGTGCGGGGAGGTGCTTCTTCACATCCGCCCTCACTTTTCCCCGTTCCGTCACCACAGAACTCCCGTTTCAAGGCCGTAGATGATCAGTACCGGACCCTGATGCAGACCTCTGTGGCTGACCCCCTGGTTCTGTCACTCGTGGTGCCCGGTGCTCAGCGGAACTCTTCCTTCCAAGGCCAGAAGCTGCAACAGATGCTGCAAGCAGGCTCGGTGGAGCTGGAGGGCATCATTACGGCTCTGAAGAGCGTACTCTATGAGTTCTGTGTTCATTTCCCCCGCCTTTTCTTCCTCAGTGACAGTGAGCTGGTGGACCTGCTGGTCGCCCGACTGGAGCCCGATGAGGCCCAGATATGGGTACGACGCTGTTTTCCTCACGTGCTGGGTGTGAGCTTCCAGGCCAGCCTGATTGGTGAGCACACGGATGGCCCGGAGTCGAAGCCAAGCCTACAGACTCAGGTGGAGGGCTTTGCGGTGCTCGGCGCCGGTGGGGAGAAGGTGAAGCTGCAGCCGCCCCTCCTTCTGCATTCGGATCTCCCCAGGTGGCTGACCTCCCTGGAGAAGGGTCTGCGTGTGGCACTGGTGCACAGGCTGCAGGGCTGTGTGGCTGCCCGTCTGCAGCGCAGTGTGGCTCTGACTCCATCCCTAGACAAGGAACTGCCCCAACGAAGCCAGTTGTCCTCACAACTGTATGCCCACAACTGGCTGGATTTAGTCAAGGCCTTTCCATGGCAGTGTGTGCTGGTGGCAGAGGAGGTGGTATGGCGGGCCGAGATGGAGGAGGCTCTGCTTGAGGGGCAGACCCTGACCATGGTGCGCAAACATGTGTGCCAGCTGGAGGTACTGGTGCATTTTGTACGGACCCAGAAGGCCTACCAGGTTGGGCAGTCCCTGCCCTCTGTCCGCGAGACCAGCCTGCTCAGTGCCCTAGTGGCCATGGCCGTGACCCACCGGGATATAGCACAGCTGCTGAAGGAGCACAAGGTCAGTGATCTGACAGACTTCCACTGGGCCCGCCAACTCAAGTACCACCTGGGTTCATCTCACATCATCTCCCAAAGCCCCTTACAGAGTCTCAAGACCATTGCATCTACGGACACCTCTCTGTCACCAGCTGCATGCTGGATAGATGTGCTGGGCCGGTCCTTCCTGTACAATTATGAGTACCTGGGTCCCAGGCTGGGGTCTCTGCCCAGCTTGCTGCCTGAGTGGCCAACCCTGGCACTATTATTGGCCCTGGAGGAGGTGGCCTGTGGGACCCTACTGGGCCCTGATGGCATGGGCAAGGCAGCCATGGTGAAGAGCCTGGCACAGGCCCTGGGGCGCCAGCTGGTGATAATGCCCTGCTTGCCTCAGATAGAAGCCCCAAGTCTGAGCAACTACCTGAACGGCGCCCTGCAGGGTGGCGCCTGGCTGCTGCTGGAGGCCGCTCAGCATCTGCCGCTCGGCTTGCTCTCTGCCCTGGGCCAGCGCCTGGCTGAGCTGCACAGACTCTATGCCCCGCTGTACCGGCAGGTTTCCCGAAGCACCAGTACCATCGACCCAACCCACCCCCAGCTCCTCGGCAGGGGTTTCTTTGAGAGACACCACGTGGACATGCGCCTTGGCTACGGCTGTCTCCTAACGCTGCGTTCCCTGAGCCCTGCTGTGCCTGCCAACCTGCGCCTGCTGCTGCGTCCTGTGGCACTGACACTGCCCAACCTGCAGCAACTGGCAGAGCTGACTCTGCTGGGAGCAGGGATGCGGGAGGCCTCCCTCCTGGCTACCCGCCTATCCAAATTCTTCTCCCTAGAGCGTGAGCTGGTGTCTGGGCCCCTGCCCTGCCGCTTGCCACTGTTCAAGCGGGTCCTCGCAGACACGATACAGGCTCTGTATGTGGCCACGGAGGACCCCACATCCCAGCTGTCCCTCAGCCTTGCTGCCGCCCAGGAGAGGGCCCTACTGCGTGCCCTGCTATGCTCACCTCTGTTTAGCATCCTCAACGGGGCCCGCCTTCACCACCTCCGAGAGCTGCTCTGTGGGATCTTCCCCAGGGCCAGGCAAGTGCTGGCGGAGCCTGTGGCCCACAGGCTGAGGAAGCCTCTGCTGGTGGAGGAATTGCAGCAGGCGGGCCTGCATCCCAACACTGATATTTTGGGTTCCCTGGAGCAGCTGAGCCAGGCCCTGGGCCACACCTCGGGCATTTTGCTCCTGGGCCCTGCGGGCAGCGGCAAGACCACTTGTTGGCACAGCCTATTTACCATCCAGAATCGGCTGGCGGCCATGGAGGACACCTCAACACAGGGCCATCTGCCTGTGGAAATTACACACCTGTATCCCAGCGTCCTCAGCCCCGAGGAGTTCCTGGGATGGCAAGAGGGCCCCTGCTGGCACCAAGGCATCCTCCCCAGGCTGCTTCGTGCAACCAGTCAGTGCAAGGCTGTGGATCCAAAGAGCAAGGCCCAGGGATCGGTGGGGACCCAGCACTGGATCATATGTGATGGGGTCTCCAGTGCTGCTTGGCTGGACTCTGTCACTTGCCTCCTGCGTGAGCCCCCCCAGCTTATCCTCCCCTGTGGTCAGCAGATAGAACGATGTGGTGGGCCGCTGTGCCCTAGTCTGGTGTGGTGGGGAGCAGACGTGGAAGGGGATGCTTCGAGCCCTGATGACAACCCTGCCTCAGGAGTACTGCCTGCAACCCCACACGGTCACCGAACTCAACCACCTGGCTGAAGTGCTGGTGCCTGCAACGTTCCAATTCCTCACCCGCCACGGTGCCAGCTCCGTGCTGCAGGCACATGGGCAGAGGGCTGTTTGCCCAGGTGTGGCTGAAATCACCAGCCTGGCTCGCCTCTTGCGTTGCCTGCTTGACCTCCACCTACGCATAGATGAGGAGACACATGTCCCAGGTGAAGGGAAGGGAAAGGGAGGGCTGGCTTGAGATCTCTGAGGCCTGGAGGTTCAATGGCATATGGCTGGAGCCTGGGGGCTAGGGTCTTTGGTGGACTTGGGCTTGGGGACTGAAAGTGAGAATTAATCGAGCCAACTCTCCTCCCCTGCCCCCACTTCTTACCGGGGCTCCTATTCTGGCCACAGTGTCCTTTGCAGAAGACCTCAGTCATAGGGACTCTGGAACCCCGAGCTTCAAGTCCCCAAAAAGCAGCTCTCCTACCCGGTCCCGGGCTGACAGCAGTGATGTGCTTAATAAGCGCAGGGAGCACTTGCTGGTTGTCAACAGCTTTCTCTTTGCCTTGATCTGGGGCTTTGGAGCCCATCTTCCCTCCAGGTATCTACAGGGGTGGGGAGTGGCGGATGCAGAGGGCTGAGGTGGACTGGCCGGTGGGAGGCAAACCCAGGGGATCTCTGTCCGGGAGGGTGGAGTGTGTCACAAATGGCACTGTTTTAACTCTCTGACACTTCTGCCTGTGTGTCCGTCTGAGCAGGCTCTGGCCCGCCTTTGATGCCTTCCTGAGGGATTCTACTAGTTACCTCCCCAACTGTCCTGAGCCATCGCCCTCGGCCTCGGTGTTTGATCTTCATTTATGCCCGGAAGATGGGACTCTGGTCCCCTTCACTGGGCAATACGTGGGCAGCCGCATCAAGGGATCTCTGGGCACCTTCAGTCCTTCTCCCCAGGTGTGAGGACAGGGGCTGGGGTTGGGGCTCAAGGGGGTCTCCTGGGAGAGTCCACGTTCTAGGCCCAGCTAGGCCTATCTGTTCCCTTTCTTTGCTATGTTTTCACACTTGCAAGAATACATGAAATATTGTGCAAGTGGAGCTTTAAGACAAGATCCCTAGACCTTTCCTTTCAGCTGGATTACTGTCTGGAGCTGCCACAGTAAGCCCTGCTCCTGTCCTGCAGACTGAACGACTCTTGTATGTGGTGGACCTGCTTCTGACGGAGGGGCACCCAGTGCTGCTGGCTGGAGAGGCAGCAACAGGGAAGTCAGCCTTTGTGGAGGTGCTAGTGGAACCACATCACCCTTACATCTACACCCCCATCCACCCTGCCTTCAGTACCAGCCACCTTCGCCTTCTGCTGAGCCAAGGGGTCCAGGGCCAAGCACAGGCCAGCCCAAGGTCTGGGCAGCCCCTGAATTCTAAAGGCTCACTTCTCTTCCTGCTGGAGGATCTGCACCTGGCTGCTTCTGGTGAGGAGCTGGGAGGAGAGATGGAGGGCAATATCTCCAGGAAGCCTGAACCTCCAGGCATAAAAACTGATAAATAGGTCAGTGGAATAGAATAGAGATCCAAGAAATAAATCCTCGCTTATATTGTCAATTAATTTATGACAAAAGAGGGAAAGATATACAATGGTATAAAGACAGTCTCTTTGATAAGTAGTATTGCCCAAACTGGACAGATACATGCCATAGACAGAAAATATTCATGATACATATATCTGACAAAGAACTTATATTCAGAATATATAAAATAATGTACAACTCAATAAGGAAACAAACTCCATTTTTAAAAATGTACAAAAGAACAGACACTTCACGAAAGAAAGATATGGCACCAATTAGCACATGAAAAGATTCTCCATGATATTAGGTATCAGTGAACTGCAAATTAAAACCACCATGAGATAGTAGTTCAAACCTACTAGAAAGATTACAATTAGAAAGACTGAGAATAGAAAGTGTTGGGATATGCAGAGCAACTGAAACTCACACTTTGCTGATGGGACTATAAAATGATATAACCACTATGAAAAAAGTGTGGCAATTCCTTATCAAATTAAATATATACTTATCATAAGACCCAGAAATTCTATTTGTAAGTATTTACCCAAGTGAAATAAAATCATATTTATGTTCTCAAACGTATACGGGAATGTTCATAGCAGCATTATTATCCTGAATAGTCAAAATGCAGAAACCTAAGTGCCCATCAGTGTCTGTCAATGGATCTACAAATTGTGGCATTTTCAAAGTAGACTACTACTCAGCAACCAAATGGAACAATCTACTGGTGCACACAAAACAGGAATGAATCTCAGAATCATGCTGAGTGAAAGAAGCCAGAATGGTAAATTGCATATAGTGTATGATTCCCCTTATATGAAGTTCTAGAATAGGCAAATTAATCTATAGTGATAGAAATTAGATCAGATAGAAATTCCTGGGGCAGTGAAGTGGGGGGATTGACTGCAAGGGGCATAAAGGAACTTCTGGGGTGGTGAAAATGTTCTAAATATCATCGGGTTGGTGATTATACAGGTACATACATTTGTCAAAGTTCATTGAATTATACTTTTAAAATACCTACATTTTATTTTATACTAGAGGCTTGTTGCATGAATTTGTGCAAGGGTAGGGTCCCTAGGCCTGGCCGGCAATCAGGGCCAATCAGGGCCTTCCGGCTGCCGGCTGGGGCCTCCCTTTCCCTGCTGCCAGCTGCCAGCTGGGCCTTCCTTCATTCCCCGCGCCCTGGTGGTCAGTACACATCATAGTGAGTGACGGGTCTCCTGGTTGAACTCCTGTGGGGACAATTTGCATATTAGGCTTTTATATCTATACTAGAGGCCCATTGCATGAAAAATCATGCACTCCGTGGTAGGAGGGCCTCAGCCCAGCCTGCGCCCTCTTGCAGTCCGGGAGCCCTTGCTCCTTACCACCCGCCTGCTTGCTGCTCCTTACTGCTCAGCATGCTGCTCCTGCCACTGCTGCTGCGCTAGCCTGGCTTCTGGCTGAGCAGCACTCCCCTTGCATTGAGCGTCTGCCCCCAGTTGTCAGTACACGTCATAGTGACTGGCCATTTGGTCAATTTGCATATTACCCTTGTATTATATAGGGTACCTATATTTTAGTCATATTTTAATAAAGTTGACTTTATGAAAGTGTGCATGTGATATAACTCTACACTCTCTGTGATGACTGCATCCCTCGCCCCCCGGCCCACCCCAAATTTGGTCAGATTAGGTTTACAAGCATCTCAGCTTCCAAACTTCCCTATTAATTAACCTTCAGTTAATGAATAATTGGCCATAAAGGTAGGATTTGGGGGAGAAGAGAGAAGAAATTACTCACTTTTAGTGAGTGTGTGGGAGAGAGAACCACTTAGACATGACCAAACCCCAACACATCAGATGCACAAAATTCCTTTAGAATCCTATGCATTCAAAGGTAAATTGAGCGAGGCAGGGATAGAGGAACAGGGTGACACTGCCATGTGGACGCAAGCATGTCCTCACTGTTATTCTTAATGTCCCACAGACCCAGAGAAGAGCTGTCAGCCAGTGTTGGAGACTCTACGCCAGGCCATGAATGGCACTGTGTGTGCCCACAGCACCTTGGAACTGCAGACACTACAGCCTATAGTCAACTTCCTTGCCACAGCTACAGTGCCAGGCTTCTGTGAGTGCCCACTGTGCCCCCGCCTCTTTCGACTGTTCACAGTGCTGGCCCTGGCTGACATGACCCAGGCAATACTGCTCAGCAGGCACACACCAATCATCCAGGGCTGGCTTGAACGCTTTCCCTGTGTGGAGCGGGAGGGTGTTCTAGCAAGAGCCCTGATCTGTGCCTCCATGCAGGCCTGGGAGATTGTGGGCAGCTGTTTTTTGCCTTCACCCCTCCACCCACATTACCACTTCTCCCTGCACTCTGTGAGCCAACTACTGGGAAGCCTTCAGCTGCTGTCAACCAGAACGGGCTCCCGAGGTTTTCTGGACTATCCCAACCACCAGGAGCACTTGCGCCGGGTGTCAGGCTTGCGTGGCACCCGCCTGATGACTATGATGGCCATGCGCAACATGGTGCGCCTTTGGCTGCATGAGGCACAGAGAACCTTCTGTGACCGGCTGGACAGCCCTAGGGAACGTGACTACTGTGCCAAGCTGCTCCTAGAAGTAGCTCAGCGTGTCTTCTGCTGTGGGCCAGCACCCCAAAGCCTGGACAAGGGCTATAAGGAGAAGGAGGAGTTGGAAGAGGAGGAGAGGGTGCCTGAAGTGGAGTCTGAAGGGGAGTTGGCCCAATGGGAGGACTTAAGCGATAGCGGCAGTGATACAGAAGAAGAAGACACTTATGACCTTTGGGTCACCACGGGCCCACCCTCCAGAGATTCAGGTCATACATCATCCATAGCCCCAGTAGAGAGGGGAAGCACAGAGAACATAAGTCAAAAGATAAATCAGGAGGAAGGCACAAGGGCCTCCAGTTATAAACTTCAAATAAAGAGATCCAAGAATTCGTGGCAGAAGACATCCCAGTCGGACCTGGACTCACCCCTATTGCTACCAGTGCTACTACTCTGTCCCCAGGAAAAGCCCTCAGACCTAATCTTTAGTCAGGAGCTGATACTGGGTTCCAATTCTGAGAGCCCCAACATGTACCTGGAACGGCAGTGGGAGAACCTGGAGGAGCAGCTGGCCACATCAGCTGCTCAGCTAAAGCTGAGTCCCCACCTTGCCCGGTGCCACTCGATGGCCCAGCATGTGGCCCGCCTGGTCCGGGTGCTGGCCAGGCCCCGGCAGCATGGCCTTCTCCTCTCAGGGGCTCTGGGCACTGGGCGCTGTACTGCCATCATTCTGGCAGCTAACATTTGTCAGGCCCGTATCTTCTATCTGCCATGTCAGCCAGAGAAGGCCATTCTCCAGTGTCTATGGGATGCCAGCTGGCATGCTGGCATATTAGGTCAGCCAGTGGCCCTCCTGGTGCCCAACAATGTGGATCTGACCACTCTTCATCGTCTGCTGGCCTTGGCAAGCTCAGGCAGTTTCCCTGACCAGTACACAGAGGCACATCTGGAAAACATTGAAGAACATCTCAGAGATGTCAAGCAGACCAACAAGAAAGAAATGCTTTTGCAGAGGTGAGGCCAAGAGCTCCATTCTAGGGGCTTCTCTCCTCTTGCTCCATTCTGGCCAAAGGCCAAAAAGAAAGTAGGGGTTGCTGTGAGGGCTCAGAAGATAAGAGCTATGGGTTCAGGATTGGGACTGGGGCATGCGTGGGCAAATAGAGATAAAGGGGAGGACAGTATCTGAGCTCCTGGCCCACAGGTTCTACCAACAAGTGTGCAGCCACCTGCACATGTTCATCCTGATTGGAGATGACCAGGCACACAAACAACTGCCCTCTACCCTTTTCCGGAGACTCCTCCAACTGGCCATCAGCAGCATTGACCACTATGAACCCTGGGACCAAGACTCCCTGATCAGTGTGGCTCAGCACCATCTGGACAGTGCTCAGAATCTACCGCTTGGTGATGGTGAGCACTTTCTACCTGTCTGTGCCTCAACTCAACCAGACTGTAGAGGATTATTATCTCTCCTCTCCCTCTCCCACTCCCTCCATCCACCAC